GATGGCACAGGGCTGGGCAGTGTTTCACTCTGTTCTGCACAGGTCGCTATGTGTCAGAGCCAGCCCTAACAGCAACCACATGACATCCTCACAGTCATGCCTACTGAATAATTGAGTAGAGCTATGTGAAAGTAAGAACTGGAGATAAATCTGGGCAGAAATCACCTATCCATTGTTACCTTAGCTATGAGTTATCTATGGGTGCTAAAGATTGGAGAAAGCACTGGTTGGAACATGAAAGACCAAACCTGTGTTTAAGGGGCAGGTAAACGAAGGTTCCACCTGCATCTGGAAAGCCAAGAGAGGGCACCTTTTAAGGAAGGGAAGCGACAAACTGCTAAAAGCTATACCAAGAGATAAAGCCCAAAGAATCATGGGTTTATGCTGAATGACTGATCAGTTTAGTGTGGATGTGGAAATCACTGTCACTTGACTTATTTGGTGTTGATGTTAGAGGGTAGACCCCGAATCAGGGTGGCAGCCCATGACCATCTCTCATCAAGGTGAAGAATATTCATTCTTTGGGGAAGAGGTTAACAATACATCTAAAAAATACTCTTGGAAATCTAAGATCTCATTATTTGTGTCAGAGCTGCCCAACTTTTGAGTCACTGGAAATAAAGCTTGAGTAACGGGCCCTTTACTCCACTCTGGAGTCTGTCCTCAGTTCTCAGTGATCACAACTTCGTGTTGGATACACAGTTCCCAGGTCAGCCCTTTCCATTGCCCATGGACACAGCCAGCCTCTCTGGGGCACATACTTTGCAAGAGCAGCAGTATACAAATAATCTGTACTCTTCCGCTTAGCTTTCCACTCCATTTTTTTGACTTTTAATTCAAACTAAACACTAATATGAGAAGTTTTGATAATAACCAGTGAACTTCATCCTTTCTAAAAGGCAGTGTGGCTGTCTTCCTGTAGTGTAACCATAGCAACCAACAAGAACAGAGAAAGAAAGCTTCCACGCATGCTGTGCTAATGAATCCTGTCCTATGGTTTTTCTTCAGCTGGTGGTGCAATTTAATACATTTTGCATGAGTAAGCATGTTTTGATGTATGAACTGTATAAATACATATAGCAAGATCTTTGCTGAGAAGATTTGGAAAAAAACTATAGTTTTATATTCATGCTTCGAGGTAATCTTTCTTGTTTGTTTCATTTTTGAACCATTCTTTCAGTAATTTTGTCAAACCCTGACAAGTTTTGACTTTATTTATCTTTTTAACCCAAACATACATTTTGGGGGGGGGGGTAAATCTTTTCATCATTTTACAGGACACTTTACACACACAACATACACACAAATGTTTTAACTATCTTAAAGTGAGATGATTTATGAGTTTTTCTCAAGTGATGCAAAAAAATGTATCCTAAAAATATGCTAACATTCTTCATCTTAAGTCACATATGCATATGCCATAGCCATTTGGGGAAACCCAAGCTTAATATTTAGACTCAATTTCAATATAGTGAACACTCTCATTTTTCACTGTTATCGTGGCAGATGTGTGCGCCGTCGGAAGCGTGTTTGGGCAGCCTTTGACCTAAACATAGAGGAGGAAAGAGAATCTTACAGCTGAATAGCCTTTTCTGTTTATGTCTTCCAGTCATTTTTAACCGCCGAGCAAATTCATATTAAGAGAATACATTACTAAAGCAAAACAAACAAAACACATTGTTGTGAAGCTGCATTCTGACTCATAGTGACCCTCTAGGTTGGGTTAGAACTGTCCATACTGTTTCCAAGACTAAACATCTTTTTGGAAACAGAATCTTTCTCTTGGTGAACAGCTGGTGGATTTGAACCCATCACCTTTGGTTTATCAAAGCACTTAGCCACTGAACTACCAGGGCTTCTCGAGTGAACATTATGGACCTGAAATTGCATGTATATAGTTTTATTTATACTATTGCTAGGCTATTTTGAGTTTTCATTCTCCCATTAACACTGAGCATAGCATGACTTCTATAACTAGCCAGCTGATCTGAGCTGTCAAAGATAATCTCAGATTTTCTTACTCGCCTTTCCCTTGAGACTAACTTTCCGACAACATAGCCTCAGGAAAACCAAGGGAGTCAGCTAACGTGTGTTTAGTGTCCCATTTGGCGTGACAATTGCATGTGGAGCCAGTCGGAACCTATTTCACTTCTTGTGCTTAGCAATTTTCCCCCTGTATGAAAGCATGATTCTTTGAGCAACCAGATCTTTTGATGGGATTACCAAATTTAGAGACATTCAACTTGCGTCACTGACCTATCTATAACTCTTTTTTGGAGGGTGGAGGTAGAATTGGAGTAAGATTAAATATTGCAAAGAAAAGAAGTAGAGTTATTATGAAAATTTACTATAAAAGAGTCGTGCCATTTTTTTTGTGGACCATGTGGGTTCCTATATTGTGAGTGTGTGATTTGTAAATTTTAGTACTTTTAAATGTTAACCAATTTATAATATGCCATTATAGTATTTAACATCTGCATTGTAAAAAATAAATCAAATGACTGTAACAGTAGTTGTATTAATTAGAATTAATTAAAAATTGTCTTGCCAGCTGTCCTATTAATTTAAAAATGTACATGTAATGCAGAAAATGGAATGCCAAGTATTTAATATACAGGGGAAAGTCATGTTAAATGTTACTTAGCAATTAAATAAGATTAGAAGGGCTGTAATTATAATAGACACATGGTAAAAATTGTATATGTACTTTGAACATGACAGTGGGGCAACAAGACTACACTTGTCCTTGTGAATATTCTCAGAAAGATATCACAGATTTTTTTCAAAGCAGATTTTTTTTACTTTTTAAAGAAATGCATACAACAAAGAAAAAGTCATTGGACAAAAGTTGGAACAAAACTTGGGAAAATTAGTATGTTTTAGAAGGTATATAATCCCATACTCCAGAACTCTAAGAACTGAAGACATTTTAAAATAAAATATTTCGCCTAATCTTTTTCTGGATGCATTAGGTGAAATTGTATAGAATGTAATGGCATGTCATAAATTGGGGGTTTCCAAATGTTGATGGAAAAATTGAATGCAAAGATAATTGAAAATTTTCACAAAAATTTTGAAGCCTCCTTGTACCTTTTCACTTACATTATTGTGAGCAATTTTTGTATTTTCAGAAATTTCTTAGGGAACATTTTAATTTATGGTATACTATTTCATCAACTGTGTATGCAATTTATTGAACTACTCCTTTATCATTATTTATTTGTGTGGAGTTCATAAGAGCTTCCCAGATACACATTGACTAGCCTGGTAGCTCTGTGAGTTAAGTGTTGGGGTCCTTCAAGCCCACCAGCCCTTCCTCGGGAGAAGCACGAGGCTGTGTACCCACGTAAGGCTGTGCAGCGCTGGAAGCTTTGAGCAGCAGCCTGTGACCTGGAACCGACTTCCGGGCAGTGGGGTTCTTTTGGCTTGAGTGAGTGTTTGGCAGAGCAATGAAAGCAAGAGATGTGTTCAGATAAAGCTGGGAGAAAGGTAGCAAACTTTTTCTTGGGGATTTTCAGTACACATCAGAGAAACAAAGGAAGTCTCTTCGTATGGAAAGGTTTTTAAAGTACACCTTTTAAAATCCATCTTTTCTCGAAAGTTTTCTGACCTTTGCAATATAACACTTAGTAAGTCTCCAAACTAAAGTTCCCTGGACCATATCCTGTTACCAGACCAAAATCAAACCCGCTGCTGCTGTGTTGATTCCGACTCATAGCAACTTAGTCGGCCAAGAGTAGACTGTCTCATGGAGTTGTCAGGGCTGGGAATCTCTATGTGTACACTGCCCCATCTTCTTCCCACAGAAGAACTGGTTGGTTCCAATAGCTGACCTTTTACTAACGGCCAAGTGCACAACCAGGACACTAGTATCTCCCTTAGTCCAAATGATTTCTATGCTTTCTTACGATGTCTAATTGTCAATGGAACCATCCCCTCACAGAAGGGTGACAAGGAAGGGATGAGCCAGCCAGGGTGCAGTATAGCACCAAGGAAACACACTACATTCCTCTAGTTCTTTAATGCTTCTCCCCCACCCCGCCTCTATCATGACCCCCGTTCTACCTTACAAATCTGGCTAGACCAGAGGATATACACTGGTACAGTTAAAAGCTCTGCACACATGGAATCCAGGACAGATAAACCCTTCTGGAACAATAATGGGAGTAGCAATACCATGAGGGTAGAGAGAAGGTGGGGAGAGAAGAGGGAGAAAGGGGGAACCTATTACAAAGATTGATGTATATCCCCCACCCTCACCTCCTGAGGAGGACAAACAACAGAAATGTAGGTAAAGAAAGATGGTGTGCATGGTTTAAGATATGAAAATAATAATAATAATTTATAATTTATCAAGGGTTCATGAGGGTGGGAGAGGGAGGGGGAAAAGAGGAGCTGATGCCAAGGGCTCAAGTCAAAAGAAAATGTTTTGAAAATGATGATGGCAACATACGTACAAATGTGCTTGATAACAACTGATGTATGGATTGTTATCAGAGCTGTAAGAGCCCCCAATAAAATGACTTAAAAAAATGTCTAATTGTGTATGACTTATGTTTTCATGTTAACCACTCCCCCCAAAAAAACAAATAAACAAGCCCACTGCCATTGAGACCAGTCTGGCTCCTAATGATTCTGTGCATGGTTTCTAAAACTGCAGCTCTCTGGGGGAGCAGACAGCCTGATTTTTCTCCCTCAGACAAACTGGTGGATTTGAACCACTGACTTTGTGGTTAGCACCCCCACACCTAGCACGACTGCTGTGGCTATCTTAGATGCTTGACTCCAGGGCTTTATTATTGCCTATTAGCATGCACTGGAAGCAGATAAGCCACTTTATGCTTTTCTCAGCCTTTCTATTAAAACCTCAGCACAGCATTAAGGCAGTATTACATTATTGTGTTTGACTTTTAAAAATTGTTAGCTCTCCATTTTTAAACTTCTAAATTCCTTTGTTTGATTAATGCTCATTAAACTTCTTTGTTTTGTATCACCCACAGGTCTTGCGAGAGCCAAATCCGTCCCTAGCCACACCTACTCCAATGAAGTGGTCACTCTGTGGTACAGACCTCCAGATGTCCTCCTGGGCTCCACCGAATACTCCACCTGCCTTGACATGTGGTGAGAAATGGGAGCTTTCCTCTAAGCTAATCTATCTGTGGTGCTTAGTCTGGGTCAAGGCTAGACAAACATCCTAACAGATTGAATGAAGATTAATGGCGCCAGGAGTGTTTGCATGTGTGTGGCAGTGTGGTGAGGTTTTTAAAACACATGAGTGGGACTCTTCTCTAATCAGAGTCTCTCTGGCAGATGATGTCTGGTAATGATTCTTGATGGATGGGGCCAGAGATGTTTTTCTCACAGTCAGGACAGTTATTTTTCCCCCTAAGGGCCTTAATTTGCTGCTTTATGTGATAAAGAGGAAGTCTATGTCTCCATATAGCAGTGTGGATTGGAAGTAGCAGGGGACATGTTAAATTCACAGCAAAGCTCAGATATGTGATTCAAACATTGAGCTGTAGCTGTTCCATGTCCCAGACTGAGTCTCTGTGTACCTCTCAGTTATCATGCCACTCATCCAAAATGGAGTGAAACGATTATTGTTTTTACAAACAGCATGTTTAATTTCAGCATAGTCTTTGTTTCCTGTGATGGCTTAGCAAAGCCTAAAAATCTTTCCTTTGAGGCCTAAATACTGGTAAGATTTAAAAGGCAATTATTATTCATGGTAAACTATGCTGAATTCCAAATCAATTGTGATATAAATTAAATAATCAATTAAGGAAATGTTTTTAGGACTATAGAAGGCTTACTAGTGACTGTAAAAGGTATCTTTTATTGACAGGAAAATCACTTTTCCTGATTCACAATTCTGTTGAAAATTGTGCATATCCCTTAAAAAGAAAAACCAACAAAAAAACCCAAGAATCATCATCTCTAATGAACGTGTATGCCATGTGCATAGATTTCAACTTCATGTTTATATAATGTTTACAGCCCCAATCAAACTGTAACATATGTTGTTTGTCTTACTGCTACACATTTACTTCTCTGCTGTACCCTCTGTAATCTTGAAGTATAGTAAATTAGGCTGTGATGAGACCTGGCTTCTTCTTGATGTTTTTGATCCAAAATGTTTGTGATGAGAAAACAATAAGATTTCTTACAATGCAGAGCACAGTGTAAATTTGTGTAATTTAGGGTTCAGCACCTTTCTGGGGATGGGACCTTAGGATCTGAAAGGCCACTGGAAATTATGTAATTGTTTTATACAGGTGGGTATATTTCTTTTTATCAGATATAGATCCATAGCTTAGCACAGAACTATGAGTCTAGATTCTAAAATCGCCTAAGATCTATTGTCACAAATTTTATATTACCTGATAATAGTCTATAATATCATTTTCATGCATATTCTAAAATTCTGAGAATGAAGGTGAGGGTTTGTCATTGACAGGCTGAGGTAATGTGTCTTTTCATCCAGTTTTCTGGCTGCTTGACAGCTGATTAGTTTCCCTCCCTACTCAAAAGGCTACCTACCCAAAGGCATGAGCGAAATAAAATGTTGGACCCTGACTTTGAGGGTCCAAGAGGTAGAACATAAAAGCCAGTGGACGATGCTTCAGGAGTTTAGGGAACGTCCTGTCTGACAGCCCAGAGCTGGCATTGGAAATGATCACTATTTAATAAGTTTGAGTTAGGGGTGTTTGTATCTGTTTGTTTGTTTGTTTGTTTGTTTGGGGGGCATGTGTATGGAAATTCTAGGTTGTCTTTCACTGAGGTCTTTTAAGGACTCTGTTAACAGATCATCATTGGAAAACATTTGTGGCTTGGAGCGAGTTTTGTCTCTGTGTTTGGCAGCTCAGTAATACTGTACCCTCACTCATCAGGAGACACTGTTTCTTATGCACTCGTGACTAACATTTTCCAACCTTTAACAGTGCTCTTTACAATGCAAGGAACCACATGGATTGTGACTTGTTAACGTGCCTCTTTCTGATGTGTAGCATTTGATTTCCAGTCTGTGCCTCTTCCACCCCCACCCACTCCCTATTTTCTACCCTGTTTGTGTGTGTGTGTGTGTGTGTGTTTTCCTGCCAGGAAGAAAGCTTGGGTTCTTTGTGACAATTTGCTTTGAGCAGAGGCATAAAAGAAGCATAGGAAGATGGCTGTTCTGTAAATGGAAGGGAGGAGATCTGATAGAAAACAGTAGACCCCAAATGCCCTTTTGTCTACCTGCCAAGATTATTCACTGCCAAAAGCAAACAGCAAATATGTTATCTTTGAGCTGCTTCCCATGCTTATTGGCTCTTTACTTCCAAATCCTACAATCTGAGTAATGTCTGTGCTGTGCCTGTCATTCTGAATTTGATTTCAGCCCCAGCCATTTTCTAGAAGCCATTTTGCTATTCTCCCAGGAGTCAGGTAAATGTATGTGTCTTTCCAGTTAGCAAGAAGTTCCCAGGGCCCTGGGTTTTGTTTAATCGATGGCATCGATGCTGCTGGGTATTGAGAGACTGAGAAATGGGGCTGTAATTGAGTCATGGCTCAGCTGCACCCACAAGGGCAACTATGAATACACAGCTAGTAGCAGGAGGCAGGTGGCAGTGGTTCCAGGCTCGTTTTACAGTTCATTTACCATTGTGGGGGCAGTAGGATGGTAGCTCAAAACTAACCACCCTTACCCAATGTTACTTTTTCCAGGGTTTTGTTTACATAGCCACATGCAATAAAAACATCAGTGAAGGCGCCTATAGATGAACCTTGTCATCCAGTGGTGTAAAGCAGCTCTCAGGGGCCTGCGATTTCCTGTTCTAGGCCTTTAAGGCCGTGGCAGTGTGTGAAAACACTGGAATTTGAGAATCCATGAAGAAAGATGATAGTGTTTGATACCTTTGCCCCCCACTTTAAAGGGGAATTTAAGCAGAGGACTCAAACTTCAGGTTGCATCTTGGATAGCTCTTGGATTTTATAACTCTTTCAAAGTCAAGAACAGGGAATCATCTTTAAGCTCCTTTACAAAGGCTTACAAAGTCCTGCACACCATCTAAAGAGAAGGGCAAGCACACAAAGGAGCTTATCTGTGTGGCTTCTCCCTGGCCAGCAAGCTCCCTTGCCTCTCTGCACTGGCTGGCCAGAGTGTGCTCCAGATGTACTTTATGTTCCTTTATGTTGCTGATGTGTGTCCCCACCTGACCAAGTAGAACTGCCCAGGGGTTTTCTAGGCTGTAATCTTTATGGGATTACACCTGGCCTCCCCTCCCTCAGAGTGACTCCCTCAGAGTGACTGATAAACTCAAACTGCTGACCCTTCGTTTAACAACCAAGAACTTAATCATCGTGCACCAAGTGCCGTAGATTCCCTTTTGAAAGCTCCTAAGTTTGTTCAGAACGGCATTTGTTTGCTAAAGCAGAAGGTTGACTCATATTATTTTCAGGAGGTAATTGTTAACATGGGCGACAAAGTTATCTATGACTAGTTAAATGCAGGTAGGTACCTCATCAAGATCACAGAGCCTTTGGGAGGCTAAAATACAGACGGGCAGTGTCTTGTGCTGTTCACTACGTGTCCCCCAACATGCTGAAGAGAATGATAGTGTGTCAGTCTCTTCCTTCCACTATCTTTTGAAAAGTTAATTAACATATTAACTATGCTTGTCAATGTGTAGGGCAAATCATTTATAAATAAGCCTGTCAAATGTAATGAGACTGCATATTAAATCACCCTTTTCTCTATTACATCTCTGATTTAAGATTAAAATTAATTTATTTAACATTGTAGCAGCTGGGAGATTAAGGGGAGAAAAAAACCCATGCCAACCTTGATATATAGAAAAATAGCTTCCTAAAAATTGGTTTTGCAAATAGCAGAAAAGAAATTGCCTATTTGTTGAGTATTATAAGTCCACTTAAGATTGTTCTTTATTAAATACGCCTAATCTTCATACACATCGGCTATATGCTGGGTGGTGGCATTGCCTTTAATGTTCTTTCTTGAATCAAGGAATATTTGTGTAATAAAACAGGTTTTCCTACTGCTCGTCTTACTACTCAGGGTCATATGCTTGGCTGGTAACTACAAGTGTGGATGTTTGAGTCTACCCAGAGGAACTGTAGAGGAAAGGCTTAATGTAATGGATCTATTTCTGACAATCCCACCATTGAAAACACAGTTCTGCGTTGACATACATCACAATCGACTCCAAAGCACATAATTCCTAGTTTGCACTCAGGCTTATTTAACAGGGTTTTAAGAGCAGTCATTGTAAATGAACCTAATACTAAATGTGTTTTATCTAAGGACATATCATTTGAGTCTTGAGTAATAACAGTAACAGTAGTTGGGACTGTCACCAAATAGATGCCATGCTCTAAGACCTGCATTTCCATTTCTTTCCTGTTGCTCCATGATACAGTCGGGGTCATACAGGAAATAAAAGAGGCCATGTTTACACTCTCGTTTAACCCCCTCCAGAGCCCTTTGTCTTTATAAAAGGTTACATAATCTCTTAAGACAATTTAGAAGAAATTTATTTTTGTTGTGCTACTAAAGGGCGACTGTAAAACACAAAGGTGGTAAATTCTTTTTTGCATAATTCGGGTTATGTTCTGTGCCCTGTTAGATTTTTTTTTTACATGTTTATCATAGTGGGTTTTGCTCTCACTCCATATCAATATTCTAGTAGATTCTATATTATACTATTTTATTCAAGGAAGCATTTCTTTGAAACAAACCAATATAGGGATCACTGGGTTAAAACTCATTTTTTATGGGAACAAAATTCGTGCTGGCATATATTCTCATAGTCCCCAGCCATGACTTAGTTACCAATGCTGCTAAAATTAATAGTTCCATTTTTTTTAAAAGAAAGCTTAGGAAGATTGAGAGTTTGTGTTCACAAACTACTTGAAGTTTTCTGTCAGGACTGTCTGTTCATTTTAAAACCCATCAGGTCATAAGGCCAAGGAGGATATGAATTATTTATTGTCAACTGTACCACCTTATCCCAAACTAAGGAGATTGCTCAAATAACACATGATCCAAGGGGCTTATTGGCATGGCCACTGACAGTAGAGTGGAACATAACCCAAGAGCCCAGGGCAGGTAGGAGGACTTCCAT